TCTAGATAGAGAGCATTTCCATCCTGCCTCTTGCATTTACTCTCTAAACTCCAAGCAACCACTGATCTACTGTTTGTTATTAGTTCTTTTTATTCCTGAGTAATATTCTGTTGTGTGAATATACCATAATTGGTATGCCTGTCTGCTTATGGACATTTGAGTAGTTTCCAGTTGGAGGTTATTATGAATAAAAACTCTATAAACATTTGTGCTTGTCTTTGTGTAGACATATGCAGTTGACCCTGAAACAATGCAGGGGTTAGGGGTGCCTACTCCCTATGCACTCTAAAATCCATGTGTAGCCTTTGACTCCCCAAAAACGTTAACTACAAACAGCTTACTGTTGACTGGAAGCCTTTCCAATAATATAGTCAATTAACACATATCTTGTATTTTATACATATTATATACTGTATTCTTATAATAAGTAAGCTAGAGAATAGAAAATATTAAGAAAATCATAAGGAAGAGAAAATACATTTACTATTCATCAAGTGGAAGTGGATCATCATAAAGTTCTTCAGCTTTGTCATCTTCACATTTGGACTAGGCTGAGAAAGAGGAAAAGGAGGGGTTGGTCTTGCAGTCTCATCTCAGAGGTGGCAGAGGTGGAGGAGGTGAAGGAGAGGAAAGAGAAGCAGGCACACTTAGTGTAACTTTACCAAAAACATTACACTTTTCTGACATTTTTCCTTTCTCATTTCTTTAAGAATGTTTCCATATAGGACCAATTCTTCTTCTACCTTTTGCTTTAGTTTTAGTGCCCATATCACAGAAGGGTCCATGCTGTAAAATAAGTCAAAAGCAGTCTTGAATAATCAGAATCATTCCGCCAGACTGTGTAAAGTCAACTTGTTTTCTGGTGCTGCTTCTTTGTCTTCCACATCATCTGGCACTGGTTTGGGAGCACTCATCTCCATCAAGTCATCTTCTGTTAATACTTATGGTGGGGTCTTTAATAGCTTTTTAATTTCTCCGAGAGTCACACCTTGTAACCCTTCATCCCCTACTTTTTTTTTTTTTCCCATATCCACAATCTCATGATTTCCTTGATTGGCTCTGTCATAAATCCTGTGAAGTCATGTACAACATCTGGACACAGTTTTCTTTAGCAGAAATTTATTATTTTGGGTTTGATGGCCTTCATGGCTTTTTCTACAACAAAAATGGCATTTTCAATGGTGTAATCTTTCTAGACTTTCATGATGTTCTTTCACGGCTCTCTTTCACAGCACTGGCAATCCTTTCCATTGAGTACCGTGTGCAATGAGCCTTAAAAGTCTTTATCATACCTTGATCTGGAGGCTGAATTAGAGATGCTGTTGGAGGCAAGGAGACCACTTCCACACCTTCAGTGTTGAACTCATGAGGTTCTGGGTGGCCAAAGGTACTGTCCAGTATCAAAAGAACTTTAAAAGAAGGTCCTTTACTGGCAAGGTACTTTCTGACTTCAGGGACAAGGCATCGGTAGAACCAATCCAGGAAAAAAAGGCTCTCTTTGTCTAGGCCTTCTTGTACAATGAAAATAGCAGGTAGTGTTTATTTTTTCCCTTCAAGATTTAGGAGTCTGCAGCTTTATAGGTAAAGACAGTCCTGATCATAAACTCCACTGCATTTGCACAAAACAGTAAACTTAGCTTACCCATTCCTGCCTTAAATTCTGGTGCTTGCTTCTCTTCCTTCCTAAAAAACGTCCTTTGTGGCTCCCCCAATCCCACTCCTGCCACAGAATAGGGCACTTTCACCTGCATTAAAGAGCTGCACAGGCAGATATCCTTTCTCCTCAATGATCTTCTTAAAGGCATCTGGGAATTCATTTGCTGCCTCTTCCTTGGCAGAAGCTGCTTCGCCTGTTATCTTGACATTTTAAAGCCAAAGCTCTTTCTAAAATTATCAAGCCATCCTTTGCTGGCATTAAACTCCAGCTTTAGATTCTTCACCTTCCTTTTGCTTTAATTTGCCATACAATGACTTCACTTTTTCTTGAATCATATTAGTGTTTATAGGCATGCCTTTCTTACAGCAATCCTGCATCCAACATAAAAGTTGTATTTTCAACACGAGATGAAAAGGTATTATGTAAAATGTGCAAGGTTTTCCACCTGTTGGTGTAGTAACAGTGGAAGCTTTACAAATTTTTTCCACGCTGGTCCCTAGGATGGATTCACTTATCCAGGAATGGTGGGCAACCAGTTGCAGACCTCAGTCTATGGCATGTATCAAGCAACTCAACGTTTCCTTTTAATGTTACTTTTCTCTGCTTCTTGAGAGCCCTTTCAGCAACACTAGTGGCACTTTGTATGGGTCTCATGGTGTTATTCAAGGTTTATGGTACTGCACTAAACACAATGAGAAATACATGAGAATTGCAAGAGATCACTTTTTATTGAAATACACAATTTACTGGAAAGGCGAACTGCTCACACAGAGATGATTAGTGTCATATGGCATTTTAAGCATACTCCCAACATCTGAGCTCACTGCAGTAGCAACAGAAGGGACTATGAAATTACTGTAGTCGTATAATATTAATATGTACCACAGTTAACTTTATGCAGTTACAATTTAATACTACATCTTTGTTTGTTTACATTTCTCTCAACTGCAGATGGTGCCATGTATAGTCTATAAGTGTTTTTGTAAGTTTTGATAAATTTTAACTTTTTATAATAGATTTCTATGTTTTATGGTAGCAAATAATAAAACAAACTAGTATCCATGTATTTGTATGCATTCATGACATACCTAAGTTTGTCTTATTTTATTGCTATTTCTAGGCTTTGTAGTTCATGTTTTTCAAATTGTTCATGTTTTGTAAATCGATTGTAGTTCATGTTTTGCAAATCTCCAAAAAAGTTTCCAATACATTTACTGAAAAACAAATCTGTGTATAAATGTACCTATGCAGTTCAAACCTGTGTTGTTCAAGGGTCAACTGTACTTTCATTCTCTTGTGTAAACATCTAGAAGTAGAATTGTTGGGTTGTAAGGTAGATGCATATATCCTTTATTTTAGTATATAAGCCTATTGTTCACTTGTATGGATTTTCATGAGCCTGTGAACTTTGGCAATGACCAGTACTAATTTACACATCTATAATTTCCTGCCTGAGGAATCCTCATAGACAACCCAATGCCTTGCTCAAAGTGATGATCAATAAATGGCTGTTGTTTACGACTTCATAGGTTAATCTCCATCTTCCTAGAAGGTATATCAGAATTAAGAAACTTCTCCAGGTTGCATTACATTCTCCACCTCTTCTCCTCCCCTCAGCCCTCCATGGCTCCTGGGTTCCAATTCTACATCCTCACCTCCCTGTTTATAACTGTTATCAGTCCTGGCTAATGATGGGAGAGTGCTATATCCAAGTGTGTTGGGCCAGAATATAAAGTAGAGAATCATTGATATTGGCAGTAATGCCACAGCCAAAGGAATATTTAAGGAAAGAGACCTGGCAGCAATAGGCAAGAGAGTGCTTGTAAGAAGAGACTAAGGGCAGGCACCCAAGGCATCAGAGGCTTTAAATTCTGTTTAATCTCAGACAAATTCAGATAAAATATCTGTCATAACACTTATTATTAATTAAATAAGTTTATCAGAAGCTATTAGAAAATTATGCTATAAAAAAGAGAGTATTTCTTATAAAGCAGATATATACCTGGTACCTTTCCAGAAATATCTAAGCTTTAAAAACATTTTAATCTGAAGTAATTATCTTTTTGAAAATGCATTGAATTTTGTCTCAAAACTCTAAAGCTAGTCTGAAGATGGACAATTCTATTTGATCCCAAATCAGTATTTCCCCCATCATCCTCAAATAGTGTTCCATTTTTCACAGAGATTTTCAAATAACGTATCCCTTATTAGTAATGTTCCTAAAGAAAGTGAGATTGTTAATTTAATTCTCACACTTTAGATTGTACTAAAATGACTTGAAGAGTAAGCCACAATTTGGGAGCAAAAGATTCAATTAGATTTCAGCACTACAGATACACTTTAATGAGTCTTATTGTGGGGTCTCTGTCATCAGATTTAATGACCATTGTCCCATGGAATGATTAGAGGAACAAGTGCTAGTACTTAATTTCACAATATATTCTTGCAATAATCTAGGGCTTTACAATGCATTGTGGAGCTCACTTTTAATGTCATTACCCTACTAAGATATTTAGCTAAACCTAAGTCTGTCTTAACCATCTATTATTCTATATAACACATGGAATGAAATTCATCATTCAGTAACAGCAGCACTTGTAACACTCCTGAAGTATTACTATATTACATTTAGAGTCGGCTAATATTCATACAAGAAATAGACAGGAATTACAACCATATGAAGTCAAAACAAGTATTATGGGGTCCAAGGATCTTTACTTATAGCTTATAAATAATTTTTCCTTTTCTTCACATTTCATACCTGTATCAGTCACTCTCTAATGTTAATATTCAAATTTACTATTAGAAACATAGGTTCAGGTTTTAAAGATTTAAAATATCTTGTCATGAAATCACACTTTTCTTTATTCAGATCAGAATATTTCTCAAAACGTTCCTAAAACACATAACTTGGAAGTTGATATGGTTTGGTTGTGTCCTACCCAAATCTCATCTTGAATTGTAGTTCCCATAATCCCCAGGTGTCCTAAAAGGGGCCTGGTGAATCATGGGAGCAGTTACCCCCATGCTCCTGTTCTCATGATAGTGAGTGAGTTCTCATGAGAGCTGATGGTTTTATAGGGGTTCCCCCCCTTTTACTCAGCACTTCTCCTTGCTGCTGACATGTGAAGTAGGATGTGTCTGCCTCCCCTTCTGAATGACTGTAAGTTTCCTAAGGCCTCCCTACCCCTGTGAAACTGTGAGTTAATTAAACCTCTTTCTTTTATAAATTACCCAATCTCAGGTAATCCTTATAGCAGCGTGAGAACGGACTAATACCGAAGTCACTTGAAGAAGGATCAGTAAACACCAGTAATGAATTAGAAAAATCTCATCTTCTTACCTGATGAAGTTTAATGGACATACGGATCCCAGGGACTACTACTTTCCTTAGCAATTCCATATCAGCAAAGATCCATTCATCTCGAATTGAAGAAATACGGAAATCTCCTTTAAATAGGGCATGCAATCCATAGAGGAATGACTCTAAATTACTGTTAAGATTGGAGATAAAAGTTCACACGTTTTGACAAAGGTCTTCCATGACACTAATTCTTACATCTGGGTGTGCATCAGAATCACCTGGGAGTGTTTTGAAAATACAGATTCCAGGAACTAACATCAGGACCCTGAACCAGAATCACAAGAGATAGGGTCTGTTCAACCTGGGACCCTTATTTATGAACCACTGTGAGTCCATGAAAATAAACAATAAGCAAAGAGCCCATAAGTTAAAATAAATTAAGAAAAGCTTAAGGGAAAACATGTAGTTATTAAAGAAAAAATTCAAAATATGTGGTATTTCTTAATTCTGATTCATTTGGATGTATATGTTAGGAAATCCAGTTTAGATTTAGAGTTTCCAAATCTAACATATGGCTATGTCAAAAGTATAAATACCCTGTACAAAGACTGCAAGGAAATATGAAAAAATAGAAATAAATGAATTTATTTTAAAAAATAGATGTAAACAGGAGGAGACCAATCAAAATTCATGGGGTAGTTATATTTTAAAATGTCTTAAATTCATTATATTCTCATTATCAGTGGCTATCCACACATGTGTGAATATTTTTTTTGTTGTTGTTGTTGTTGTTCTTATTGCCCAGGGTGGAGTGCAGTGGTGTGATCTTGGCTCACTACAACCTCTGCTTCCTGGGTTCAAGTACTTCTCCTGCCTCACCCTCCCAAGTAGCTAGGACTACAGGCACTCACCCAACACCATGCCCGGCTAATTTTTATATTTTAGCAGAGATGAGGTTTCACCATGTTGGCCAGGCTGGTCTCAAACTCCTGACCTCAGGTGATCCACTTGCCTTGGCCTTCCAAAGTGCTGGGATTACAGGCGTGAGTCACCATGCCCAGCCACATGTGTGAATTTTAAAAACCAGCTCTGTTAACCAGTTAGGACAACTCAACTCTGTCTAAGAAGATGATAGATAGAAATATAAAATATAAAAAGACTTTACAATAAATTAGCATAGAATACATGCTTCCATGAAAAATGATTTTAGATTTAGGTTATACAGCTTCCCATACTCTCTTCCTCAGAACAGAAATGCCTTCTTTACCTGGACATATGGTGGGATGCAGTCCCCAAAGCTCTCCGTCCAAGTACACAGAGTCCATAACAGAGAGTCACCAGGGAAGAATCTTTGTCCACATCCAGTGGCTTTAAAAAACAAAGAACATTAGTTATCAGAAAGGTATACAAGTATTTAACAAATCATAAATCTAATTAACATAGAGAAATCATAAAAAATTCAAAAAGTACATAATTTCTATCCCTCAAAATAAGCTTAGTAATAAAACAGTATGAAATGAAGCATGAATGTGTATGGGGATACACATATCCTTAATAAAAAAAATTTCATAATAATGGAACACAATTAAAACAAAAAACTGACAATATTATAAAATACTAGGATTTTAGCTAAAGATTTCAAAGGACTTACCGAGATTACTGATATTACCCTCTTCTAAAAATATGGTATTTCTATCTATTAGCTGCTTATTTTTTTTCTCAATTACTCATTTCTGACCATAACTTGAAATGCAGGCTATTAGTGGCAGCTGTGTTTGCCTATTAGTGACTATAAACATAGTAAAGAAAATCAAGTTGATATTCATAAAATGTTTCCCCTCAACCTTTTCATTTTTTAACAATTGCATGCCTTACAATTGAAAGAAGCTAGTAACTCTCCTGTTTCTCCCTCTAAGAAAGCCCAAATAATAATCACTGATCACCTTATATAATACTAAAGAGTGTCTCAGTTACCAAAAAAAAAAACAATCGAGGGCATTGCTTCTCAAAGTATAGTCCTAAGACAAGCAGCATTAACACCAACTGGAAACTAGTTAGAAATGCAAATCTCTGACCACTCCAGATCTCTGAAATCAAATTCCGAAGGTGGAGTTCAGCAATCACTCTTCAGGTGATTCTAATGCATGCTAAAGGTGAAGAATCAATGATACAGGCTAATAATTAGCTTAATTATTCTAACTTTGCCGATGGTATTTATTTTTTGCTTTATAAACCATTAACTTATAAACACAACAGGGGAGCAGTCTAAGATATTAATTTACTACTGATTGGTTAATTATCATTAACGCAATAATTTAATTAATGGCAATTGTGTTAGAGATGTCCTAGTTGCTTGCCAGTTAGATTGTTTCTAAAGACGTATTACCTCGTATAGCACCTACTCTAGTTTCATTAAGTAGGCATTTTGAAAAAAATTTGAGGTCCAGGATGTAAAACAGTAAATAAAGAGTATGAGAGTACTAGTTTGAAGAAATACAAAAGAAAAATAAAAGAGAGTAGGTGTAGACTTGAAGCCGTATAAAGAAAAAATACTAATGGTAGTTACAGTGGGTGATTTTCATTCTTTTTTTCTTCTTCCCTATCTCCCTTCCCCTGTTAACTTTATGGGCTAAAAATACATTGTTTCTGTGATGAGAATTGTTTTTTTAATTCAGCTCAGGTTTACCTCTGCCAAGACGATGCAATAGAGACCACATTTACCCCCCTACTTGAAACAGCCAAAGAACTGGGCAGAATACATGAAACAACAGTTTTCAGCCACTGGAAACTAGTCCCTGAGAGACAGGAAAAAAATGAGGTAGCCTTACAATTGACTGAGCTTACTACATAGAGAGTTCCCAGACCACAGCACAAGAAAGGGGAGCACAGATTGAGCCAGAGGCCTCGGAGTCAGCTGGAGCTCACAGGGCAGAATGCTAGAGAGGAGAGAGTGAGGCAAGGGAACTTGGAGATCTGCACAGAGTGCTGATAAGCACCGCAAAGAGGACTTGAGACTGAGAAAAGAATCATCTGAAAAGAACCGAAAGGAACAATGGAAAACCTTGGCTAGAACACTCAGGATGTATTGTCTTGGTCATGGGGAAGAATTAGCCCCGGACTAACAGCTACTCTGGTTCCTGCAAAGCAAGCCCTGAAAGAATCAAACTGTCTCCAAAGAATGTAACTGTGTCACAAAATGAAGTTCAAGGATTATTTACAGAAATACATAAATATCCACCACCCTTGATGGTAAAATTAATCAAGTCTGGCATCTAATAAAAAAATTGACAGGCATGCAAGTAGCAGGTAAACAGGAACCATAATAAGAATAACAATCAATTAACCACTCAATCAAAACTGACCCACAACTGACACAGATGTTAGGCATAACCCACATGGATATTAAAACAACTATTTTAACTATATTCCATAAGCTCAAGAAGGCGGAGGAATAACTGAGCAAGTTAAATGCAGCAAGATTTGTAGAAAGGACCTAAATCAAACTTCTAGAGATAGAAAATGAAGCAATGTCTGAGATAAAAAGTATACTGGGTGGGATCACTGGCATACTAATTCAGAAGAAAAGATAAATGATCTCAAAAACTTAGCAATAGAAACTATGCAAAATAAAATAGAGAAAAAAGACTGAAAATAAATGAACAGGGCACCAGGGAGCTGTAGGATAATTGAGCAGCCTAATATAAACATAATTGGAGTTCTTGCAAAAAGGGGAGAGGAAAACAGAAAAAACTATTTTTAATAATAATGGAGGGAGCGTCTTGGAGTAATCCAACTCCAATCCTTGTTGATAAGGAGAACAGAGAACCAGGCACCTGTATGGCTACTAAGGATAGGCTGAAGCTGGGGTCTGGGCCTTATGACTGAGAAGACTGTTAAAGCAAAAACCTCTATTCCTGCCTCGACAACACCTAGCCAGAAGTAGAAAATTGCTCCCCTTTTAATCCTATAGATTTTTAAGAATTTTGACCTGCCTGAGGAGCACCAGATTGCATACCTCCCCTCGAATGGAGGCCCTCTGGTGGTTCTGGATGGGACAGAGAACTGGAAAAGATGTTAACCACTGGGGTCCCCCCTCACCAGGGAAGATGCCCTCTCTACCACAGGAATCCAGTTTGTTGCAGTCTCCTTCAATCATTCTGTTGATCATGAATGTTTGCTGTATTATACCATAGATATTTATATTTCTTAGTGCTTTATAGTTTGTATTAATAAAGCATTTCTTTAATAAATTTTTTAAAATGATGGAAAGTCCCCAAATCTGAAGAAAATGATGTACCTACAGATTCAAGAATCTCAATGGACTTCAAGAACAAGAAACAGGTGGCTGGCAAAATGGCCAAATAGGAACATCTCTGGTCTGCAGCTCTCAGCGGGATCAACACGGAAGGTGGGTGATTTCTACATTTCCAACTGAGGTACCTGGCTCATCAGGGACTGGTTAGACAGTAGGTGCAGCCCACGGAGGGCTAGCTGAAGCAGGGCGTTGCCTCACCTGGAAAGCACAAGGGGTCAGAGAACTCCCGCCCATAGTGAAGGGAAGACATGAGCGACTGTGCCATGAGGCACAATGCCCAGATACTACGCTTGTCCCAGGGTTTTCACAGCCCACAGACCAGGAGATTCCCTCACGTGCCTACACCAGCAGTGCCCTGGGTTTCTCATTTGGGCAAATACCGAAGTAGCTGCAGGAGCTTTTAATCATACCCCAGTAGAGCCTGGAACACCAGTGAGACAGAACCGTTCACTCCCCTGGAAAGGGGGCTGAAGCCAGGGAGCCAAGTGGTCTAGCTCAGCAGATCCCACTGCCATGGAGCCTAGCAAGCTAAGACGCACTGGCTTGAAATTCTCATTGCCAGCACAACAGTCTGAAGTCGACCTGGGACAGCTCGAGCTTGGTGGGGGGAGGGGCATCCACCATTACAGAGGCTTGAGTAGGCGGTTTTCCCCTCAATGTGCAAACAAAGCCACTGGTAAGTTAGGACTGTCTGTCCCTTAGCAGAGCCCCAAAGCAGTGCCACAAAGCCACTGCAGCCAGACTGCCTCTCTACATTCCTCCTATCTGGGCAGGACATCTCTGAATGAAAGCAGTCCCAGTCAGGGGCTTACAGATAAAAGTTCCATCTCCCTGGGACAGAGCACCTGGGGGTAAGGGGAGCTAGGGGCGCAGCTTCAGCAGACTTAAACATTCCTGCTGGCTGGCTCTGAAGAGAGCAGCGGATCTCCCAGCACAGCACTCAAGCTCTGCTAAGGGACAGACTGTCTCCTCAAGTGGGTGTCTGACTGCTGTACCTCCTGACTGGGAAACACCTCCCAGCAGGGTTTGACAGACACCGCATACAGGAAAGTTCCACTGGCATCTGGCAGGTGCCTCTCTGGGACAAAGCTTCCAGAGGAAGGAACAGGCAGCAATCTTTGCAGTTCTGCAGCTTCCACTGGTAAAACCCAGCAAACGGGGTCTAGAGGAGACCTCCAGCAAACCTGCAGCAGGGGGACCCAACTATTAGAAGGAAAACTAACAAACAGAGAGGAATAGCATCAACATCAACAAAATGAATGTCCACACAAAAACCCCATCCGACAGTCACCAGCATCAAAGAACAAAGGTAAATAAATCCACAAAGAGGAGGAAAAACCAGCACAAAGAGGCTAAAAATTCCAAATATCAGAACACCTCTTCTCCTCAAAGGGATCACAACTCCTTACCAGCAAGGGAACAAAACTGAATGGAGAATGAGTTTGATGAACTGACAGAAGTAGCCTTCAGAAGGTGGTAATAACAAACTCCTCTGAGCTAAAGTTGCATGTTCTAACCCAATGCAAGGAAGCTAAGAACCTTGAAAAAAGGCTAGAGTAATTGCTAACTAGAATAAATAGTTTAGAGAAGAACATAAATGACAAAGGTGAAAAACAGCACAAGAACTTCGTGAAGCATACAAAAGTATCAATAGCTGAATTGATAAAGCAGAAGGAAGGATATCAGAGATTAAAGATCAACTTAATGAAACAAAGTGTGAAGACAAGATTAGAGAAAAAAGAATGATAAGGAACAAACAAAGTCTCCAAGAAATATGGGACTATGTGAAAAAACCAAACCTACGTTGGTGGACTTAAAAGTGATGGGGAGAATGAAACCAAGCTGGAAAACACTCTTCAGGATATTATCCAGAACTTCACCAAACTAGCAAGACAGGCCAACATTCAAATCTAGGAAATACAGAGAACACCACAAAGATACTCCTTGAGAAGAACAACCCCAAGACACATAATCATCAAATTCACCAAAGTTGAAATGAAGTAAAAAATGTGAAGGGCAGCCAGAGAGAAAGGTCAGGTTATCCACAAATGGA